TAGGATAACCTATGCATGCTAGATTTTCATTTCATCATTCAAACCTACAACTATCATACACCATACAAGTATGGATATTGAAATTTAAAACTTGTGCCATGCAAGCAAACATATGAAATGCACATTCAAATGCACCATACAAGTTCATGAGCTTGCTCCCCCTACTTGTGTGCTCAAGATTTATAATTGATCCCTTTCTTTTGTCATATCTCTCCCCTTATGTCAAGTTCTCCCCATTTGTTGTCTTTTCACCATCTTAGTACACTAATATCTTTTGTTTTTCTCCCCATGTACTAATATCACTAATATCTTTGTTTTTCTCCCCCTTTGTCATCAATCACCACAAAGGCCTAAATCATAGATAGGTTAGGATTATCAATGTCAATCAATGGGGTGAGAATCATTTTCCCAAATTTGGTCCAATCTAGATCATTTACCAACGATATTTAACTCAGTTTGATCTAAGGACAAGCTTCATCACACCTCCAAATAAGGGTTATCTTGTACCATATTGAGTTAAACATTTAGAGCTCATTTTGTAGATCAAACACTAGGTTTACAAGCCCACAAACATATCATATGCTACCACTAGATCAAAATAAGCATAGAAGCAATAGTGGTACCATACAATCATCAAATTCATTTGATTTTTATGAATGACCCTATTGAATGTGAAAGATGTCTAGATGTACTAAACATGTCCTTAGCAAGTATGTATGCCATGCCAATCAACTTTTACCTTGGATTGCTCGAAGGAGAGGCATGTCGTATAAGTGGGGGTGCATCAACACATATTTGAGAAATCCAATATGTTCAACTCATTCCTTAGCTTGCAAAACCTTTTCTCATCCAATGGCTTGGTGTATATATCAGCAAATTGATCTTCGGTGCCTACACTTTTAATGCAAATATCCCCTTTTTATTAGTGATCTCTTATGAAATGGTGGCGGACATCAATGTGCTTTGTTTTTGCATGTTGAACCGAATTATTGGACATCTTGATTGCACTCTCATTGTCACATAGCAATGGAACTTTCTTGAACTTGATTCCAAAGTCACTCAAAGTGGCCTTCATCTAAAGTATTTGTGCACAACAACTACCGGCGGATATGTATTTGGCTTCGGTGGTTGATAATGCAACACTAGTTTGCTTCTTTGATGACCATGAAACAAGTGATGTTCCCAACAATTGACATGTGCCCGAGGTGCTCTTCCTTTCAACCTTGCATCCTGCATAATCTGAGTCGGAGTAACCGACTAGCTCAAACTTTGCTCCTTTGGGATACCACAAACCAACATTTGGTGTATGTTTCAAGTACCTCAATATTCTCTTTGTAGCTTTCAAATGACTTTCTTTTGGCGATGCTTGAAATCTTGCACACATGCATACACTAAACATGACATCCGGCCTTGATGCGGTCACATAGAGTAGACTTCCAATCATAGACCGATACAACTTTTGATCCGCCATATTTCCACTTGCATCACTATCTAAGTTGCCATTTGTTTCCATTGATGTGCTAATGACTTTGCTAGCACTCATGCCAAACTTCTTGATCATGTCCTTGATATACTTGCCTTGACTCACAAAAGTACCATTCTTCAATTGTTTGATTTGAAGACCAAGGAAGTAACTCAACTCTCCAATTATGGACATCTCAAACTCATTAGCCATCATCTTTCTAAACTCATCACAAAAGTCTTGATTGGTTGATCCAAAAAACCGCTATATCGCCTTATTGTTGTCTAACAATTCGCTCTAGTGATTTTGTAGATTTTTAATTAGATTATTCACCCCCTCTAGCCATTTAGGACCATTCAATACCTACGATTTTAAGATAACGTTCGTCTCCATCCGACTTTATGTGAAAAAGTTATGAATTATTTTTTGATACAACTATCAAAAATAAGAAAAGGAAAAAATAGATGCACCATAAATTTTAATATTTCTATATGTATTTGATCAAAGTTTAAAATATTTAACTTCTCGAGAATTGAGAATAATATTATTCTGAGACCAGGGAGTATTTGCTAGTTGTTTTCAATTAAATTTTCTTATGTATTTCTATATTTTAGTTTTTGAGTAAGTTGTTTAGCTCTAAAATAATCTCTAAAAAATAAAAAATATCTAAATTCATGATTGAAAAATAAGTATTTTGTCATCTATTTATTTCAATATAAATGCTTGGGTGAAACCAAAGTTTGTTAACAAACCACATGCTAAAAAATTAAGTTTAAATTTAAAAATAAATCTAAAATAATTCAAAATATGTTTAATGATTCTGAATTTACTTTCAAATTGAAACTTAATTTTGAGCATGTTTCTTGTTTACAAACTTTAGATTTCACCTAAGCATATACTTAGCAAAAAGAAAACAAATAAAGTAATTTTTCCTAACTATAAGCAACTATGATTCTATCTTCTCACTATGTAAATACAACTTATCAAAATATGTGATGTAAAATACTCTCTGCCCTTGAATAAATAGATTCGTAGCAAGTTTAGGAGAGATTAGTATAACAAAGAAAAGATCATCCTACCCTTAATTGACTAAAGCAGTTGCACACTGATAGGTGATTGTTCTAATATCACACTAATTGTAGCATTTACTACACACATTCAAATGCAGAAACTCAACACTGGACTGGGAGATGGAGGGGAGTACAGTAAATGCCAGAAGACTTTGAGGAAAATAAATAAGCTAGTGAACCATTTAACCTCGTAGAGATTGATTTATTTATAGACAAATTCTTGAACTAGTAATCTATTTATTCAAGGATAGAGGGAGTACATACTATTTTTTATCTAGATACCAGTAAAAGAAACCAATCATAGAAAATACTCACTCTATCCCAAAACAAGTGACTTTCTAGGATGGAGTTCGTGTCCTAAAAAAGAGTGGTGTTTTAGCCTCCAGTAGTAGATCTCACCTCCTCCGTCTTATCCACTTGTCCTCTCCCATCTCCTCTGCTCGTCCTTCCTGGTGCCCATCTTTGCTCATCCTTCCTGGTGCCCATCTTCATCCCCACTACCGACGTCCGTCCCCACCCCAAGGTGGTGTCTGTCTCCACCTCCACCACTGGTGGAGCCCCTCCTCTTCTCCAATGGTGGGATCCGATGCCTTCACTCCTTTGCCGAGATTCGGCACCCTCCCTTCTCTTTCTCCATCGGTGGTCCACCCTCCCCTTCTTCTCCATCGTTGCCCCACCTCCTCTTGTCTGCCACCGATGAGGGCTAGCGCAGCCTCGAGCTAGAGATGCTACCACGCTGGGAGAGGCTCACGCACCAGCATGGATGAGCGCTCGTCCAAGCATAGGTGTTAGCGAGGCGGGCACGACCCACACGCCAATGAGGGGGAGGTACGCTCGCCTAGGTCAATGAGGCCACGCCCGTGCTGACGATGGGGGGGCACTCTTGCCTAGGTCGATGAGGAAGCGAGTGCGGCCTCGCGCCTAGGTCGACGAGGCTACGGGCGTGGCCCACTCGCCGGCTAGGCGGAGGCGCCCTCACATAGGACAATGAGGCCACTGGCATTGCCCATGCACCGGCAAGGGGAAGGTGCGCTCTCCTAGGTCAACGAGGCCATGGTGGGCGCACTGGCGACCATGGCTAGAGGAGTACTTCAATGGATCTGGATGGAGAAAGGAGAAGTGCAAGAGAGAGAACACAATTATGATAGAGGTATTTTTGTCTTTTCTCTTTGTTCTAAGTGGACGCGTTGAGACCTATATCGTCATTTAATTTGGGACAGAGGGGGTATGTACGTGTTGCACTGCTGCTGCTTCTCGGTGTTGACGCCTTGAGGGGTTGTCTGACCCCCTTCTCCCTTGATCACTATTCATATTTGACATTTATGTTCTTTGATTCCAACATGTCATGATAGAGCAAAGGAGCATGTTGCTAGGTTCTTTTAATAGTCGCCTACCACATCAAGTGACGTACCAACCATGCCAAAGGTGTTTTGGCCCTCTTCCTTTGTCTCAATCTTGAATCATTGTGTTTTAGTTCTATATAGTAGCAACACATCATGTTAATAGGGTCGGGTGGTCTCCTAACCTCATTCATGGTAGATTGAGATCCCCTACTATTGCACCTACTATAATCTTTCTTCCTTGACCATGTTATTGAGGAAAGGTCATTATAGGAACCTAGCCTTGTCTGGTTGTCCTCCTCACCATTTACTATTATTAATATATCTTTGTGGTGTTGATTGTTTATTTGTATCATTCATGTTTTATCTTGTAATGAATTTATCCCTTGTTTGGATTAGTTGGTAATATTTAGATACTTGAAAATTTAATGTCATAATCTCGATTGATTCCATGTAAAAATTCCAAAACCATAGAATACTTCAAAGTGAAACAGTACAACAATGTAATGTGTGTCATGCCACCCTCTAGAGGAACAAGTTGCATACATGTGTGCATAGGTTAGGATCAGTTTGTACATGGGAGTCTTACATTTCCTTAGTGATAGATATATGCCTATGAAATTTGCATCTTCTACTTCTCTAATCTATCTAATGTCATCAATATTATTAGAGTATAAGTCCCACAACCAACCATTAAAACAATGAAATAATATAAAATAGGGTAAGTAATAAAATCTAGTGCATAGCTGAGAATAAATAAATAAATAAATAAGCTCAATGTTATGTTGATTCTGACATACCCGATACACCAGACTAAGTAAAATGCCACAATGAAACAAGACACATACATTCGAAAGTACCACACAATATTTCATGACAACGAAGTTGCTCACACTCTAGAATAAGAATATACTATGACACTTAACCCACATATATAGGATGAACTAATAGGCCACCATGCAACTTGGCAAACTAGATGGTGTATAAAACCTAGTTGATGTCCGCATTCATCATCCACCGAGTACAAAGAAGATCTCCTAGCTTATCACTAGTCTAGTCCAAGTGGCCCCCATCTGCCTCCATGGTCGGAGCCACTAAAGAACTACCAGCTCCCATTAGCTCTTGTTGCTAGCCAATAGCCAAGGTGGCCATCTGGCTATTGTTGCTACTTCCATGGCCAGTGTGGTATAGGAATGGTGACCAAGCCTGGGCATTGTTCATTGAAGTAGGATGTCTAGCAAAGCAGTAGTGATTTGTGTTGTAGACACCTCTACCAAAGGTGGGCCCCTCCCAGGCAGAAGCATTTTTCTGTGACAAGGGCTCAAAATCATAAAGTCCAATGTCATTTATGCTATAACACTACTTCTTGGTGCCATTTTCTTTCCTGAGGAAGTACTTTTTGGCATGGCTAGAAACCTGCACTGGTGTCTTGGTGGTAACAAAGTGCCTAGAGATGTTCTTCCAATTTCCGCGACCGTACACATGTAGACCACGGAGGAATTGCCTACAATGAGGTAGAGTTTGAAGTGAACTAATTAGATAGAAATTTTGATTTCATTTCCATATATATTCAAGATTAGTAAAAAAAAATAATATATAAGCACTTCATCATAAGAATACCTCATAACCTATGCTTAATAAGGGTACTAAAACTTCAAGTGACAAGCATTAAAAATCTGTATGAGATGCTTTAAGGATCTAGCAAATAACTAACCTATGCTCGTCTATGGTCCAAAACCTCCTAGTGTGTTGGCTCTCCTTTCGAGGAGTAGGCTTCCTCCATGGAGTCTCCTTCACATTCCTCGTGCTGGACATCTCTACTTTTTGGTAACCATCAAATGCTTCCATGTTGCCCATGGATAGATCCCCCACAAACACCCCAAAGGGTTGATTCATGAGGTTGCTACTTGCTTCCACATGCTGGTTTCCACTCTACAATGTTTGCATCATCTCCACAATGACATCAACATACAAGTTGATTACTTGATGCTTCTCCTTGCTAGGCAACATAGCCTGGAGCTCATTCACAATTTGATTGTGCTTCTTGTTCATATCACTAGCAAAATTGTTGTTGGCGTTGTCCCATGCAATGAGAGATTTCACCATCTTGATTTTAGAGGCACTCCACTCTCCCTTGAATTTGGGATCCATGTGGTTGAGTACTACGCAACAATTAGTAGTTTCAGCTAAAAATGAGGGTTGTTGGATTGTGGAGATTGGCAAACTCCAAGGCTGGTATTTATAGGCTTCAAGTGAATCTTTTTGTCCTAATTTTGATTAATTGGACAATTGACTTTGATATGAAGGCAAAATTGAGATTTTGATAACAAAGTCAAAGAATATTATGCACTCAATATATATAATATATCTCTACTTGTGTGACTTTTTTCTCAAATGCATTAATATTTAGTGCTAGAAATTGGCTATAAGCTCCATATACACATTGTCAACTTGCCAACGCCAATAGCTTTCCTATGCAGAGCAAAAACTTGAGAGTAGAAAAGGTAGAGAACACTAGTGCAGTCTAGTTTGGTTGTGGAGGTGAGGTTTCAAGGCAGACCCAAGTGCACCCATGTATGTAGCCATTGATAGGGTGATATGTGTGGTCATGCATGGCCATACCGCCACTGAAGTCATTCCTAGGCACACATGATAGAATGATACCAGCATCTGGCTTAGCTACTATTAGTTGACTACATCATCAATGGGGACGTCTAATGATTGCAATGCTTCATCTCACACGTGTGATATATATATATATATTTATCTATTCAAATATCTTGATGAGTTACTGCAACATAAATGATCACGAACATTTTGAATCTTGTAATATATGCATATCTTTTCTTGTGATATGGTACTTAATAGTTTTATTTGGTATAGATGTACCAAATGAATGTCAGTGTAAGTAATTTTGTTAATTGGGAGTATACAACTAGGTCGGTGTGTGGTTGGTTTCGTCTTCCCTGTTTTCCTAAGAAGCTGTTTCAAATGACCTAAGAAGATATGAATTGCATGTTTTCTTCATACCTTCATGATTTATGTATGCATGCTGGATAGATTTCACTAACTAATTTGGTAAGAAATGTTTTTGATTGCGCCATAGATGACTCTTTGTTGATCAGCCACAATCCACTCGTGGTCTTTCTATCAAAGGCTATAAGTGCTCATAATAATTAGTTGACATAAAAGAGTAAGAATTAGAGTTAACCTTAGTAACTTAGTATCTTAAATATTCAAAAACCATTTTATCCTCATTTTATCCACATATATTTGCACTTTCATTTCACCATGGGTTCAACGAGCTCACAAACCAATAGTAGAAATACAATAAGTGGAACAATTATTTTTATCTTCGAAAGGAATATATCCATGCAATGATATTACTAAATATAGGCGTATATAGATTGAAATGTGAATGTACTTAATTAGTGTCCATGTTACTCATAAACCTACTTATTCATAAAAGTTTCCTCAATTTAACAAAAAAGCAAACAACTTTAGACTCAAGGTACACTAGCCATAGTTCATAGAAAGGAAGCACACTTATCATAGTAGAAATGCGCATATCTGTGATGAATTTTTACTGACAAATCAAAATCATGTCACGAAATAGTGCATAGTTATGATAATTTTTTTGGTTTCACCATGGATCATTGTTGATGGGCCTTGGGCGCTGACTATTTGTGATGAACTATGATGTCACCACAAATATTGTCATTGAACACCACATGGTATCGTCATAGATCACACACACCACTCGCATATCTATGATGCTTTATTTTTGAACCGTAACGAACATGACTTCGACACTAAACCAATCATTCATATGTGACGCTCTATTTTTGAACTATAATGAACACTTGTTCATCATTAAACCATTTAGAAAGACAAAAGTGTTAAAATGTCTATCTTTCTTAATAATGGTTTCTAGAAAACTCAAATAACACAAAAAATTTAAGTGTCTATCAAGACTTAAATCACAATGTTTAGCTCACACAATGTCTCGCAACCACTTCAATACACACTCACTTTTGAGTATATATATATATATATATATATGATGCTATCTTTTTGTATGAGCATTTTGTAATATTATATTGGATATTTTGACTACTAAATGAACTCAGATAAAAAATGTTTCAGCTATAAAAGTTTTAAATCAGCAGTACAACTTTGGTATAGCATGTGTCTCAATACGAGATTGTTTCAAAATATCAAAAACTTGAATATCAAAATATATGAATTTAAATAAATATTCAAGACTCCAAGCAACTTCAAATAAAAACTTATCAACAACAGAATAATGGGACTAGGTCGGCCTCTAAATTTAGTATGAACCACATGAACATTCAAGGTTCTTTGAAAACTTAAAATTTTCAAATATATGAACTTAAAACAATATTTGGGACACCAAATAGTTTCAAATCAAAATCTTTTCAACTAAAATGACATAGATTGCGTGGATAGCTACAATTTTAATATAAAGTTTGTCTCCATTCAACTTCATGTAGAAAAGTTATATATTATTTTTAAGCAACTTCAAAAAATTATAAAAATGGTCTAAACTAGTGCCATGTGTAATTGTAGGCCTACCTTGTCGGGTCCATCATGCTACGTATTTGTTGGTCCACCATGTCATTTACAACAAACATAAAACCCCCCCAAAAATGACAATAGATGTTTCTCAAGGCTTGAATCCTCAACCTTCAACTTACACAACACCTCCATATTACTATACTACACACTCATTTATGATTATATATAGGATGCTATCGTTATGTATAAACATTTTATAATCTTGTATTGAATATTATAGCTATTAAATGAACTTAAATGAAAAAAGTTTTGATTATAAGGTTTTAAATCTACTCAAACAATACATCTTCGGCCTAGGATGTGTCTCCATCCAATATTGTTTGAAACATTCAAAAATTTAAATATCAAATTATGTGAATGTAAAACAAATATTTGACAATCTAAATAACTTCATATAAAAAACTTATCAACAACAAACTCATAAAATAGGTTGGCCTCTACAACTTCGGTATTAACCATATAAACATTCTAGATAGTTTGAAATTTCTAAATTTTGAATTTGAAAATATAAGTTCTTAAAACACATATTTGGAACTCTAAACAACTTTTCAAGGACAAAGTTCTAGACTATATTGATAACTAGAACTTTGGTATAGACTATGTCTAACATCCGAGATTGTTTTAAATTTTAAATTTCAAAATCGGTAACTTAAATTAATATTTTGGGACTCTAAATAGTATTAAAAACCTTCTCAACCACAAAGTCGTAAATTGTGTTGATAGCTGAAAGCCCTAGTTTGGTTTTGGCTAATTGATGAAACCTGTTGGACAAACCCTATGTCTAACTATGATTATGAGATAGGTTGGTCCAAGTCCAAGTGATGGAGCTAGATGGCACTCAAGTGATGGCGATGGCCAAAAGACGGTGATCAAGTGCTCCAACTTGGAAAAGAAGAAAGAGAAAAACAAAATGTTGGTCAAGGCAAAGGTATAAATGCTTGGAACTTTTTGTTTTGTTGGTCAAGACACAATACAGTGCGTGACTGGGTTTAGGATAGATAGCCGTACTATTAAGAGGGGAACTCTCATGGTGAATATGGTTATCCAGTGCCACTAGGTGAACTAAACCCATGCATTTGTATTAGGACATAGTGAGTGCTAACAACCCTTGAAAATATTTGTGAAAAATGCTAACTCACGTACACAAGTGTTGGAAACATTATGGAGTTAACACATTTGCACAAGGGTTGAAGTATTGGAAGATTTGGAGTATCTCTGGGTACATCGAATGTTGTTGGCATTGGCATCATCAGACAAATGGTCATTGCATCCGATGGCTAACCCTTGGTGCTCGGGCGACAGCAGAGTACATCAGATGATGTCACTATAGACATTGGACAAACAAGTTTGTGTCCAATGTGTTTTGGGTGCTCTCTGTCTCGCAAAATAATTCTTTGGACAACTTTCAGCGAAGACATGGGACAAATGACACATCTATTCGATGTGACTAAGGAGTGTCTGATACCACTGTTCACGCAAGCGGCTTGTGTTTCACTTGTGCATCGAACGTTGGGGCTTTGTTCGATGTGAACCATCGGACATGTCCGATGTGTTTTGAGTGGCTCTGGATGCTCTCTAGAACGCATCGGACACTGGGTGACGTTTTGTCCTATGTGATATCGGACAACAGGGCGCGGAGCTAGCTGCTGGGCACCAACAGCTATATTCAAACAGCTAGTACACGTGTCATAGGGTGATATGTCGGACACTATAGACTTTTGTCTGATCTGAATAGTGTAATGTCCGATGCTCTCGAAATAGCTATAGTATGGTGGCCAACGGCTCCTTGAGGCTTGGGGTCTCTATAAATATGTGTTGGCTGACTTAAGTTCACCCTCTTTGACATTTTCATCAGTGATACATCCTTGTGAGCTAAGCCAAATATCTCACTCATCTCCTTCATTTATTTATCATCCAAGTGAGATTGGGAGTGATCCTAGTTGCATTTGCTTAGAGTTTGAGCATCTAGTGGCACTAGAGATTGTTTGAGCTACGGGAATTCTTGTTACTCTTAGTGGTTGCCGCCAGCTAGATGGCTTAGAGCAGCGGTGATCATTGAGCAGAGGGTGGTGATTGTCTCTGGCTCCAATAGGTGATTTGTGAGGGGTTCTTATGCCTTCCCTGCAGGAGATTCACAAAAGGCAATTCTAGTGGATTGCTCGTGACATTGAGTATCCTCTCATGTGTTGGTTCTTACGATGCCCAAGTGTTGGGCTAAGCGTTTGATTTCTATTAGCACGTGAGCCACCAAGTGAGTGTGTCTTCACAATGAGGACGTAGATTGCCGGTAGGCAATTGAACCTTGGGGTTAAATCATTGTGTCTACTTGGTATTCTTGTGGCTGATTTGTCTCATGCCGGCTTGGTATATCACTCCTACACTTGCTATTTACATTATTAGTTCTTATCTTGTGTGGAGCTTGTTGCTAGTTTTGCTAGTTGTAATTGGTTGTAAAAATTAGTTTCTTCACTAGCTCACTAGTTGTAGTAGTAGCAACTTAGCTAGTTAACTTGTTTGTGTGACAGAGATCATAGCAACTAGCTTGTGGTAGG